AGTTTGCTCGTGTGTGGTTCCCCAAACACCCTGGACACTCGAGGTCGTCCCGCTCGTCTCGCCATGCTCGCTGCTTCCGGCTGGTAAAGGTGCGATGGACGGTCTCTTCCTCGCCGGCCTCGTCCGATTCGGTGGCCTCCGGATCGGGGGTTGGCTCGCGATGGGTGCGATGGATGTCACCCCGTCTCATCTCGGTGGCTGTGGATTCGGACTCTTCTGCGGCGAGGGCCTCATCTAGGGTTTCGCTGAGGGTGAGACTTCGACGCACGATGAGTCGCTTCTTCACGTGCTCGTCCCTCATCCCCATGACGAGTCGATCCCGCAGCATATTTTCCAGGGCGACGAACTCGCAACGGGCTGCAATCGATCGGAGCTCTCCGAGGTACTTTCTGATGGGTTCGCCCGCCCATTGTCGTCAGTTGTAGAAGTGGTTCCTTGCGACTAGGAACCCTTCGGAGATCCCGTACTGACCAGCCAGCAGACGTTGGATATCTGCCCAAGGGGTGTCCTCGATGCTGGCTGGAGTGACCAAGGAGCGGGCCACATGGTAGACCTCGTCCCCGCAGTTCGCAAGGAATAAGGCCTTCTTCTGATCCCCGGGAATGCCTTGTTGCCCATTCCCGGCCAGGTGTAGCTCGAATCTTCCCACGTATGTGGCCCAGTCGTTTGTTTCTGGGTTGAATGCCGGTAGGGAAGACGAGAATTTCGAGGTGGAAGCCATCTTGGAGTCGCGGATAGTTCCTTGCTTCGGAAGGCTGCATGGAGGAGCTCTTGCTTCGAAGTAGGTTGCTTGCCACGAGGTTGCCCTTGTCGTGCAGTCTTACTGGGATCCCACCTTCGTCGCCAGTGTTAGATCGCGCAGGCAGTAAGACACGAGTCGAGTGACAGTCAGCTCTCGGTTTATTGGCAAGGCATCAAGTAAATCCGGACTGGCATCTGGGCCAGGGGAGACCTCTTTTATGGGATTCCCCTGGCTTGTAATCACACAATTCCATTGGCTGGTAAGACCCCGTTGCTAGTTAGCCAACCAGCAACGGGCATGAAACTGTATGCAGATGGAGAAGGGCAATCACCCTTAATGGGTGATCAGGATGTGCATAGGGGATTAAGGGGGGGGGAATACAAAAGAACACAACAGTTCCATACAGTATTAACCTTGTGAACTCTAAAGCTTCCTCCTTCCATTAACATCCATGGACAGTGATTAATATTTATATGTTACTTATGTGTAAGGGTATAAGTCTATACATATGTTGTATATAGTATGTTTAAATGTGTGTTATGTATGCGTACACTTTGAGAGCAAGCAACTAAATTTCATTTTTAATGTGTGCCATTGTGCCCACAGTAAAAAATGACAATAAAGGTTGTCTGTCTGTCTGTCTGTCTGTCTGTCTGTCTGTCTGTCTGTCTATCTATCTGAAACTAGAAAAAATCTGAAATATCTGAAACTAGAAAAAATCAGCATCAGAAATGCTATAAAAATAGCAGTCATTGACCACAGAGAAGATAAACAAAATACTTACATAACCTCTGAGAATTTAACAAAATAACAGACAAATATGGTATAGAAAACATATGCCTGAAAAAAAATCAGCCTGCTTTTTCATGGTTTTGATGTGTTTGAGACAAATAGATGCTCTTATGCATTAATAATTAATCCCAGAAAAGTTTTTTGTGGAAAGTGCATAATTAAATGCTTTAATTTCTATACATTTTAATGGTTTTTACAGTTAAAGTATTGCTGATCTGAATAGTTTACACCATTATATATAGGATTTTGTCCATCTGAAATTAATTAATTTTGTTATATTATAAAAGTAATAATTATAATTGAAATGTTTGGTTATATTTCATATATTATTAGGATGTGCATAAGTTTCTAAAACAGTGTTTTGATAAATCTAAATAATTGACATATATTTATTAAACTGATCAATGTAATTTTAATTAAGGCAAAGCAATAATATGCTTTTATAAATATGTGTTGCAGATGCTCCAATCTTTGTGTCAAATCAAACAATTTATTATTCTTGGGAAGGAAATCCTATCAACATAAGTTGTGATGTTCTGTCCAATCCAGCAGCATCTATTCAGTGGAGAAGAGGAAAACTGGTTTTACCTGTAGAAAATACAACTCATTTAAAGACTCATGGTAGTGAAAGCAAATTGATATTAGAGGTAAGCTTTCAGTGATAACAAGTGGTGGGATTCAAATACGTGAACAACCAGTTTTTTGTGTGGATGACTCATCTGGAAGTCCATTCTGGGCTTGGGCAACAAAAAATTAGCTACCATTTCTGCCAAAGTGGTGCGAACTGGCTGAATCCCACCACTGGTGATAACTTAGTACTTTCTTTATTCAAAATACTTTCCTCCCCATCACCCTAAATATATTAATATTATTTACTAAAAATTCAGGCATATATTTTACCAGTTATCATTTATTTGAGATAGTGTGAAACTGTTTACTTCTTTATCAAATATTTTATTCTAGAAAGAAAAAAAGATTAAAGAATAGTATTCCATGTGTAATTTCAGTTTTCAGAAAATCGGTACAGGGCTTCATACAAACCTTTTCCCCCCTTTTTCTTCTATGAAAGTGCCTACATTGGAAAAAAAGAAAGTTGGGAAATGCATGATTAAAGCTTTGTATCACATCTATGGCCCCCATCTCTAGTCAATTCAAACAATTCTAGTGAGGATTACAATTGTTAATTATGAATCCCCTATTATTTACAGTGTTGGTCACATGAAAAATATTATGGATTATATTTAGAGATTATATGTATATGATTCAGATCTGTCAATTTTACATACAGACTGATTCATGCTTTTCTCCTCTCTCTCTCTCTCTCTCTCTCTCTCTCTCTCTCTCTCTCTCTCTCTCTCTCTCTCTCTCTCTCTCTCTCTCTCTCTCTCCCTCTCTTTTTCTTTCTCCCCCTCTCTCCTTTCTACAAAGATTGCTCCCACATCTGAAATTGACTTTGGACATTACAATTGTACAGCCACAAATAGAATAGGGAAAAGATATCAAGAATATATCCTTGCCTTGGCTGGTAAGTAATTTATTTATATAAAAATATCTTGGAAGATTAAAAAAAATCGTTTCTATTCTTTATAAAATAGCATCTATTTTAGTGTACTAAAATTAATAAAAGGAATGTAAAATATGATTTTAAAAGTTTCTCAACAAGGCCAAATATCAAACTAAGTCTAACCTTCCATATTTTGGAGATTATAGCTATCTACAAGGTAAGTATTCACTTCTCTCCTCTCCTTTCATTTCCTGTTTCAGCTCTCTGTTTTCTGTGTCCTTCAAATAAAGAAAATATAATCCACGATCTATAAAACCAATTTTTATATATTTACATACCTTAATATGCTGCAGAACACTGTAATCTGTTTTACATCTATGATAAAAAAACAAATTTAAATCCAGACTTTAAAACAATTAAAAAGAAATTAGTAAAATATTAAAAAACTAATAATTCAGAACTATGTAGTTATAGAATTTTTAAAAGGTAATAAAACTTAGGCCTTTTAGCTCCTTGAGGAATAAATTAACTTTAAAACTTTATATATATATATTTAAAAGCTAGTTTTTTTTACAGAGGAAGCTTGATTCCATGTCACCATCAGACAAACATATACCAACTGTAGTTGAATCACTTAGATGATCTTAGTAAGCATAGCAGTTAGAAAGAGGCATTTTCTGAAATACCTGGACCATACAAATTTAAAGCAATAATCAACACATGTTGTTTGCTTGGAAACAGTTTTACAGCTAGTGAAGTGCTTTAATAATATATGTATATGTATATAAACACCTTAAATTTTATCCAAGACCTACTTTTTTGTCCCAGCTGAAGTTCATGAACTCCACAAAAAGGCAGGTTCATGTGGACTACATTGCCTTAGGCAATCTTAGAAGTTACCAACATGTGTACAAGGTTTAAAGTTAATTTATTCCAGAAAGGAATACAGTTACTATATCAGCTAAAATTAGTAGAAGGCACTCTTGGCTATTGATTCAGTCTGGATAATCAAAGAAAGATTTGAGTTTATAAGCACCTCCCAACTGAGTACTTTCTTCTTTGGAAGAATGTAATCTCATTAAGAAAAGGCAGATTTATCATCTCTCTGGCATTATGATATCTAGTAATAAAAATCACCAGAGAACTAAAGAATGGTGGAACATCATTAGTGCAACTGGGAAATCAGTTAAATCATCCTCAAGATGTGGCTGTCCAGAAACATCTTAAAAACTTTCCAAATATTTATATTAAGCTCCATACTAAGATTTTCCCCCCTTTCTTGAAGGGGAAATACATTTGTTGTTTTCCAATTTCCTGGTATCTCCTAATTTTCCAATGATCTTTTAAGGTTAGTTGACAGACTGAAATGATATTCAGCCATTTCATTATTTCAATGTATATTTCATCAGGATCTAATGTTTTGAACACATTCCAGTTATCTAGAATTTTTCTTATCACATTTTTACAGACTGTTCCCTTCCCCTGTTCCATTTGTTCACAATCTGATCTATCATATCGCCACTTCTTCTGGCTGTTAAGACAAAGGCCAAAAAAAGGAGTTGAATTCTTCTGTTTTCTCTTGGTGCTCTGTTAAGATGTTTTCATTTGAAGTAAGCAATAATATCACTACATCATTTGTTCTTGCTGTTAGTATATTTGAAGAAAATCTTGCTGGACTTTGCTTCTCTTGTTCTTCTTAGCTCATTTTTACACCTTTGCCTTCCTGACCTAATTTCTACATTTCTGAGCTGAAGATTTGTTAACAATCTTGGTAATTAGATTATCCTTCCATTCCAATAAGGATTGTCTTTAATCTCAACTCCTTCCTGAATCTATTCTGTATATCCACTCAGATTGTATTTTTGGATGTTTTTTTCCTCACTGATATGGTTGCAGAATGCTTTATACTTAACTTCTCTTACAAGAAGGCCCAGCCAACTGTAATATCTTTCCTTTAAGAATAAATTCCTCAAAAAATGGGGAAAGAGTAAAAATCCAGTTATTTAGTTATTAAAATTAGATATTCTTTTTTTTTGTTCCAAAGCTTAGATTCCCAAGGTATTCAGACGCCGCTATATTAAGAGCGGGGAAGAAGTTTCAGAAGGCTTTCACAGGAAGGTAGTTAGGGTAAAAGAGAGGTAAAAAAGGGTCTCATCCAGATCTTCCACGGTGCTTCATTGTGCTTAATAGTACTTTGGACTTTTGGCTGGTACGGCTAGGTGATCGGCCATGTTAATGGCCGATCTTTTCTTCGTTGATCCAAAGGAGCTGCCTTGGATCAAACGGAAGGGCTGCCACAATTCCGCGATCAAACAAGTGTCCTCCTCAGTCACCCCTCCATGCTGCTTCCTAATTACTTCGATGTAAAAACCGAAAAATTTAATAAAATTTGTTTAAAGAATAAATTCCTCACTATTTCTATTAGTTTATTGAAACCAGCCATTCAAATATCCATATCTTTGAGTTTTTTTTAAGTAAACGTTTTGAAATCAAGAAGTTTAACTATGCATTTTTATTTATTTTATTATACTCAAACTTTTATTTGTTGGTAAAGACAAAATCCATGATAGCATACCCCTTAATGCCCTCCATTTTTAATCCACCTTTTTAACATATAATTTCAATTTATTTTCCTTCAAATGCCTATTATGAAATCGCACAGGTATTTAAGGGAGTCATACCTGTCACAAAGATAGATGTGGATGTCAGCCTCATGTGTTAGCATTCAGCTCCTCAGTTTCTGATGGTGTTTTCACATAGTTTAATGTAAATATTGAAAACAAATTACCCTATGATAATTCCTATTCTTATTTCAAAGAGCAAATGCTTTCACATGGTCATATCTGAAATATGAATGAATTGAATGAAAGCCCCCATGGACTGAAGAAACCAATGATAAAGAAGAGCATGTTGTGGTGGTGGGTGATTCCTTGCTGAAGGAAATCAAAATGGTTGTGAATACAATGATACGACATTGCAGGAGGTGTATGAAATGGAAAAGGTATATGGAGACCATGAGACATAGGGCAAAAGATGAAGGAGATGGGAACAGTCCCAATTTAGGGAGATGGCACAAAAAGAGATAACTTTGAATCAATAACTGGCTATTCAGATGTCATGACCAACAAGATATTGAATTCTACCACAATGGTCTTAGTTTAACAAAGAACTCCTGAGAGGAAATGGTTATGCCTTTAAAAAAAACAGAAAGGTATTTGGCAGACACCTTTCCAGTCTTATCAGGAAGAAATTAAACTGGAACAAAAGAGCTAAATGTGCAACCAAAGTCATTACAGAACAAAGCAGAACACAAGTAAGAAATAGGAAGTCATGATGGTGCTACAACAAGAGGACCAATAGGTGATATTAACTACATCAGATTTTTTTTATATATAGATACACAGAATATGGGAAATAAACAAAATAATAATGAATTATCTTAATTCAGAAAGACACATTTGATGTGGAAGCATCACTGAAACCTTATGGGATGATGATTGGCACAAAGTACTGGAATACCAGAGCACAGTACTAGTATACTGAAAAGGAATTGATCCAACAAACAGGCTCAGAATATCTAAATTACACACATATGCACCTACCCATCCTATTTGTTCAGAAATTTCAGAACTAATGGACTGAAAACTTTTTTAAAGTTGTAAAAGGATTCAGAGAAACAAAAGTGAATTAACAGTAAGAGTTCATTACAGAGAATCTGGACATTCTGAAAATATGAATAAAGTCTTTCTGCTGCAGATTACCAGTTTTCAAAGAGGTATATAATCATTACACTGGAGAACATTGATTATCTTGAGCAATGTTAAGAGACAAGGCTCCAACAAATTCTTATTCTTATTGGACAAATTTATTTTTGAGAAGACAGAAGAAAGAACTTTTTAGCTACCAGGGAGCTAAAACTCACCAAGGGCTTAGTTGAATAAGTCAACCTGATTCAAACATGAAAAAAGTGATCATATTATCTTTTAATCTATCGTATGTATGTATTTGTGTAAAAATACCTACAAAGCTAACTAAAGATGCTTTTGGATTTAAAGTATTTGCCAGTAACAACACTGTTGCCCAGGGGATGTCTCAGTGGTGGGATTCAAATATGTGAACAACTGGTTCTCTGTATGGATGCCGCTTCCGGAAGTCCATTCTGGGCCTGAACAACAAAAATTAGCTACTGGTTCTGCCGAAGTGATGCAAACTGGCTGACCCAGGGCTTCATGCTGCACTTCAAAGAGATTTTTGGGATAAAATCCCAGAAAAGTTGCTTCAGTTTAATAGTCTAAATCCTAATGAAGAAAAATGTCCAGGAAGGATGAGAAATCCTCTAAAACAGGATACTTAAACTACAATTTTTCTTCACATAGGAAGAAAGAAAACCACAGAGGAATGAAAAAGGCAGCATGATATTTATAGAACTCACTAAACTACTAAAGAGAAAAAGGGCATGTATGAGAAATAGAAGAGGAACATAACCAAAGAAGAATTCAAAATAGTTCCAGAAATTATATCAACTCTGTCAGAAAGGCTAAAGTTTAGTATAAGGTGAAGCTTGTGACAGATAAACAACAAAAAATAAAGGGTTAGGTATGTTAGAAAAAAAAGGAAAATAAAGAGAGTGTATATCTATTGCTGGAGAAAAGTGATAAATTGGTAATGGGTGATGGGAAGGAAGAATTTTCTTAATTTTCTTATAGACAAAAAGAAGGTATTTAGGAGATAATAAATTTAAATGAATTCAAGACTCAAAGGCCATATAGATTATATCTTAGGATGCAAGGACACGATAAGCAAGGGGTTAATTAATTGGACAAATTAAAAGGAATTCAGGATCCCAGATAGTAGCAAAACTATCTTTGGGAAATCATGATGGATTCATGAGATTCCAAAAAGCAGGAAGGGAACAAATATCTTCCCATCTTCAAAAAGGGGAAAAGGGAGGAGCCAGGAAGCTACAGATTTTTCAGCCTAGCATCTATATTGCCTAATGTCATCAAACTGGCTATGAAGAGAATGTTTGTGAGAACTTGTATAGGCATACTACAACTAAAAGAAGGCCTCACATATTTGTCATAAACAGATCATTCCAGGCTAAACCTATCTCCTTTTTTGACACATTAGGAGATAGACTGGATGAATGTTATAGACATGGCATACCTGGACCTCAGCAAAGTCCTTGAAAAAGTACAGCACAATATTTTCTCTCAGAAAATAGTAAAGTGGGACTTAGATGATAACACCTTAAGATGGATTCACAATTTGTTGAATTACCTCACTCAAAGCATGCTAGTTAGTGGCTGCATTTCGTCTTGGAGAAAAGTACTAAATCTGTGGAACTCTGTCATAAGCTCCATGCAACAGTTTCTCTTTTTTTAATCAATGACTTGGATAGGCAGTTGAGGAAACCCTTATAAAGTTTGCAGATGACATAAATTTGGAGAGGTGACTAATATTTTAGATAAAAGACTGAAGTCTCTATCTTCTTTGAGAATAAATTTAATAAATGAAGCTGAATTTAAGAGAAAAAATAGAAGGTATATGATATATCTCTATCAATGTGCTAACAATATATGGCAAAGACATAGAATATAAGATAATGTGCTTGGTAGTAGTACATGTAAAAGGGAACTATATGTCCCTGTTTACCACAAATTAAAGATGAACTTGCAATGTGTTGTAACTGCTAAAAGACAAATACTATCTTGAAATACAGATCATAGAGTTCAGATCATGGCAAGTAATTTGTCTACTGTATTTTGCCATAGACAGATTTATTTTTACTATTCTACCACAATATAGTTAGCATAGCTATATATTTTGGAGAAAATTAAGAGAAGGATTATCAAAGTGATGAAGTCTTTTTCCATCTAGGAAAAGATGCTATAGGTAATATATGCTTGCCTCTTCAAATACTGAAGCGTTGTCACATACACAGTAGAACATATATATACTTTACTGCATTGTGGATCAAGACCAGAACCAATGAGTTGAAATGACATGTTAGATGTGAGGAAGACTATAAGTTACCAGCCAGTAGAATAATGAAGCAGTGAGTGGTTCTTCCAGAGTCTTCAGAGGATTATTGGTTATCTCCCAGACATGCCTTAATTGAGCCCTCACTCTGACTTAGAATAGTTCTTTATTTTTAATAATTGTATTGTTTCAAGATTGTATTATTTTAATAATAGTTCTATAAAATAAAAATAACAATGTATCATTATTTTAATAATAATAATTTGCACACTCTCTTTTATTTCGTATTGGCAGTATACTTGATCTCCTCCTACTATATATGTTGGTTAATGTGTCATTCCCCAGATTTATTGGCATTATTTTATTAGAGATTTACTAATTATTCTTCAGAATTAGTAATCACTTAGGTGCTGATTTATCTTCTAATCTTCTAACACTAGAAGTAGGGAATATCTTCTAAGATTTCTTGGATGTTGACGTCTGCTGTACAGTATTTCTATATACTCCTTATCTTTCTTTGATCTCTTTGAATCAATTACCATCTACCCAATGGAATTCTTTAGCATGTTAATTCAAGTTTGGAACCTCCTTTTGAGTTCAGAGATGTTTTGGAAGATGTTTGTTATTTTGTCAGTTTTATCTTCCAAAATTTCCAAAAATCCTAAAATATTCTATAACAGTAAAAAATGAATTTACTATACTTTGATTTTCTTCAATCAAAAATACCAAGTTAAAAATAGTTTTAGTAATTTATTTTAATGTTGTTCCTGTAAATCTTTTATAGTGTAAAATTCTATTATTTTAACCTTATTTACTTGACTTTCTTAAATGTAATTTAAAAGGGCCAAAATGAATGAATGCAACACTTATCTTGGAAAAGTTAAATAAAATGTAAAAAAACCCTTAAGTTTGGAAGAATTTGCATTAATAAAAAATAATTGTATGGATTTTATTTATTTTTTGGTAACAAAAAGTTGAACCTAGATATGTAAATCGTAGCATACAATTTTGCAATAAACTTCTATCCAAAGGGTTTTAGTCTCAAAAAAGGCTAACTTTCCTGCAGACCCCATTTTCAACCCTTCAGTGTACTGATCAGTTTTGCTTATTTAATACTGTTAATGTTTTCCCCATGTAATAAAATAACTTACTCTTTATTGTTCCTTATATTGCCTAATTTTGCTATGTTATTATATGTTCTTTTTTTTTTCTCCAGATGTACCATCCAGTCCACATGGAGTGAAAATTGTAGATGTATCACAGACCTTTGCTAAAGTATCTTTTAATAAACCAGATTCTCATGGAGGTGTCCCAATTCATCATTACCAAGTAGATGTAAAAGAAGTCACTTCAGAAACATGGAAAGTTGTTCTTTCACATGCAGTCCAGAGTAAGTCTGCAATAAGAAAAAAAAGGATGAATCTTAAAATAATTAGTCAGTTTTCATATTTTTATATTTTTATATTTTAGGAACAATTAGTTCTTTCAAATTTCAAATTCTTTTCAACAGGAGGCATTCTAGTGGACTATATTTCTACTGTGCCTAGGAAATAATATTCTCCTTTTTTCCTTTTAAGATCATAGATCTTTTTCCCTCAGATTATAGATGTTACTTGTATGGTGTCATTAATGATAAGATATTTTAAAGGATTTACAAACATTTCCATGCTATGTGTGAACACTCTTCATTGTTACATGTATTTGCATATTATTTTAAAAGAAAATATTATTTTAGAAGTATAGTATTGAATTTAACTATGGGTTATTTGCTGATAATATTTTAAAATTCTATCTTCGAATACACTATTTCATTCAACTTCTAGAAATAATTTGCCAGACTGTGTTGCAAGAAATGTTACTGCATATATGCAAATGATTTGCAGAACAAAAATATGAAAATATATTCTGTCTCATGTAATGCAGAATTTAAAAATGTATTTTGGAATATTGACTGGGCTTTCCTTTTTCCTACTTATTTGAAGTGGTACTAAATCAAATGAAGACAAGTACATTTTTGTCTTGTGTAAACAGATAGAACAATATTAACAAGGGAATTTGACAAAGTACCCAATTTATGATGTAGATATAAAGTTGTGTGTGTGTGTGTGTGTGTGTATGTATGTATGTATGTACACACACACACACACAAATAACACAAAATAAATGATAAGTAGAGCATGGGAATAAAGACCAACCACAATAAAGCAGCTACCAAATAAACAACAGCCCCTTAAAGGTCTCAAAACAGTTCAGTCTTAATGGCCTTCTAGAAGGTGCCAGACTATATTCTGAGGCCACTATATTTAAAAAAATTGCCTAAAATTCTATGCTTCTTACCTCACACAATCTCTGGATGTGAAAAAGAGGATAAAGTTTACAGGCCTTTGCCCTGAAAGAATGGTTTGATATATCATAACTAACATGTCAATTACATATAGAAGTAGGGAGTGTCAAAAAAAATGAGGTTGAGAAAGTTGATTCAAGAAATATTGTAAATTTCTAAGATTTCAAGATTTTATATATGTAAAATGGACAAATTAATATAAATTAATATCAACATTTTGTACCATTTTTCATATATTATAATTGAAGCAGTATTTAAAGATTGTAATTTGGTGCCAGAGGTTATAAACATACAATGATTTTTAGGATTCTAATCAAATTGAGCAATTTATTACAATAAGAGTGTAATAAATGAGAGTGAGGTCACCAGTCTCCAGATTGATAGCAGAGACATGATGCAGTTTCTAGAAGCTACATCACTCCCACAAATACAATGAAAAGTATGGATCAGGTTTATAAGCAATACATTTATCATAGTACAGTAATAACTCAAGAAGACCAATGAAACAATGAACAATATATTTGAAGGTATAAAATGCACAAGAGAAGAAGTAAACAACACATTTTCCCTTCCTGGATATCCTCAACAGCAGAGGAAACAATGGCAACTACAAACCCAAGACTATTGGAACGCTAACCATGCTAGTCAAGTGTTCCACTTCCAAAATAACTATTTATTCTCCCAGAAGAGGAACTATTAAGAATGCTATTGAGATGAACACAGGCAACCTGGAACAACAGAAAGAGGAAAAAGATCACTTATACAACATCTAACAACATAATATTGTAAACCTGTACTTTATCAAAAAATGCTTGACTACACAACCCACTACAGTACAACCAATGCAATTTATTAAAAGGATTACACTCATATATATCAAAAATATCTTAGAAACGACCAACAGATTGCTGCAGTCAGGTAGGGGGACAGGAGTCATCTGTAGCTTGTAGTGCAAGAATTGCAACAGCACTATGTAGGACTGATAGGGAGAAGACTATCATAACAAATTATGACTGGAGAATGCCAAAAGTCTTCCTGTCTTCATCAATAATAATAATAATAATAATAATAATAATAATAATAATAATAATAATAATAATAATAATAATAATAATAATAATAATAATAATAATAATAATAATTGGAGGTCATCTAGTCCAACCCCCTGCTCAGGCAGGAAACCCTATACCATTTCGGACAAATGGCTGTCCAGTCTCTTCTTAAAAACTTCCAGTGTTGGAGCATTCACCGCTTCTGGAGGCAGGTTGTTCCACTGGTTAATTGTTCTAACTGTCAGGAAATTTCTCCTTAGTTCTAGGTTGCTTCTCTCTTTGGTTAGTTTCCATCCATTGCTTCTTGTCTTGCCTTCAGGTGCTTTGGAAAACAGCTTGACTCTCTCTTCTTTGTGGCAGCCTCTGAGATATTGGAACACTGCTATCGTGTCCCTCCTCGTCCTTCTCTTCATTAAACTAGACATACCCAATTCCAGCAGCCATTCCTTATATGCTTTAGCCTCCAGTCCCCTAATCATCTTTGTTGCTCTTCTCTGTACTCTTTCTAGAGTCTCAACATCTTTTTTATATCGCGGTGACCAAAACTGGATGCAGTATTCCAAGTGTGGCCTTACCAAGGCATTGTAAAGTGGTATTAACACTTCACGTGATCTTGATTCTATCCCTCTGTTAATGCAGCCTAGCACTTTTTTGGCCTTTTTGGCAGCTGCAGCACACGGCTGGCTCATATTTAAGTGATTGTCCACTAGGACTCCAAGATCCCTTTCACAGTTACTACTATTGAGCAAAGTACCACCTGTACTACACCTGTGCATTTGGTTTTTCTTGCCTAAATGTAGAACCTTACTTTTTCATCATTGAATTTAATTTTGTTAGATAGCGCCCAGTGTTCAAGTCTGTCCAGATCCTCCTGTATCCTAAGCCTGTCTTCTGGAGTGTTAGCTATTCCTGTCAGCTTGGTGTCATCTGCAAATTTGATGAGTTCCCCATCTATCCCCTCGTCCAAATAGTTGATGAAGATGTTGAAGAGCACTGGGCCCAGAACAGAGCCCTAGGGCACCCTACTACACACTTCCCTCCATGTAGAGTAATCTATTAAGTTACTTTTCAACAGTTTTCATAACCTTAAAGAGATTATGGGTTAGAGGTTGATTAATTGTCTGGCAGATGATGCTGTTATGCTCCTGACTGATACAGTTTCAGCCATGTCCAGAGAAGAGCAGGAGGCAGATTCCCTAGAAGTTCAGAGCAACAACAGCCCTGATGCAGCAGCCTCAGTCCCTTTAGCATTGGCATGGCTCACTGGAGAGTGTTAAAGTCCTTATTAAGAACTACTGCTCTAGATGGTATTAAAAAAAAACATAGATTTTGTTTAGAAATCATTTTTTGGTAATAAATTAAACACATATTTTGAATATGTTTTATTCAGGTAATAACTAATAGCATTTCTACTGACTAATATTGTAAATAAATATTTTTTTGTTTGCTTGTTGAAATTCAGTAGTAGTTTCAGAAGCTATTATTCATGCTTATTATTGCATATTTTTTACCTTTGGAAGAATATTGATAACATTTTGACCACTAGGTAAAAATTGTGGGCACAGTTCTCCCCTTTTCTCTTTTAATATGATGATTTCCAGAAAAATAGCTCTTAGGCATATATAATTTTCGTGAACAATATCTGTAAAAACATCATGCATTTTGAGTCATTCCTGTTTACAAATCTGCAATTTTTTAAATAAGTATCTGCTTTTGTAATCTCGCTACCAGAGCAGTTGTTTCTTCCTTTTCCCCTTGGTGGTTATTTATTTGTTGTTATTTTGACAGAAATAGAATATAAATTATACATGACTTTACATAAGACACATGAAATATTTTAGTAGAATATGTGCAGCAGCTAGCACATTATGAGACATAAATATTAGTTGTTGTTCTTATTCCACTCAGGTGCCAATAGAATCATAGAAAAAATATAGCATGGTCAGGGTTGATGGTAGATGTAAACCTTGGCAGTGGTAAATTTATACTATATTTTCAGTTGAACTTTTCAATGCAATGCTCTCCCAGGTCCCACAGTTTTTACTTTTTTAAAAAAAGAACTTCTCTGACAGACAAATGGCAAGAAAGACTGATTTTTACAACAGTACTGTGATACTTTTTTTCAGCATCTCTTTCTCAAAGTATAGTGATTACATAAATCTAGCGAACCTTCAGTGTGATAAGCAGATTGTTACACAAGCTTAACCACCTTCTGTCTTTCTTTTCTTTCACCACCCAGTTGTTTTCTCATTGGGGCAAACTGTTTGTAAACCTATGAGCATACCTGAGATTGGGAACCAAACCTCAGCAAAAGGAGTGAAGAAATAAATTATTGCTTGAAATACATGATAGGGATAAGGAAAGTGTAGCATGTAATGAACTGCATCCCATTCAACATCTCAGATCCTATGCTACATCCATCCCATTAGGATGAGAATCAGAGATCAAGAGCTTTTCTTCCAAATAAAAATTAATGTACCTAGCCTTGATGTTAGCCTTGTGAAATAAATGAAGCAGAACCATTACAACCTAATATATCCCTTTTCTCATAAAATATGCTATTTTAAATAAAGCTTTTCTTCATTTTCTCTTAGCTACGGTTATTCTCAGCAATCTGGAACCAAATACAACATATGAAATAAAAGTTGCCGCTGTAAATGGAAAAGGGCAAGGAGAATACAGTAAAATTGAGATATTTCAGACTTTACCCGTTCGTAAGTAATTTGCTATTCTGCCCTATGGGTAAATTATATTTATTAAAAAAGTTATTAGTGTTCATTTTGGTATCAGTGCATCACAAATAAAGTTTGACACAACTTAATGATACTCCTGAATTTGCTTATGACTATCTAATAATTCTCCAACAGTAGGAGATTGTTTTTATTTTTATAGAAGGAGTGTTTAATTATGACTCATAGAATACCACAAAAATAACAATTAGAATTTTCGGACTCCATTATATCTGTACTGTACAGACTCTAATCTGTATAGATAAGGATTGTCCGGAATGTTGTTGTAAACATAATAAGGACAATGCTTCTTTAAAACATAAGTTTTTACAATTTCCTAAATTTACTGTCTTTTGGGAGAAAGCAGTGGACTAAATAAATATGAAATTTTCAGAGGATAATGTTCTTTTGAATTACATAACAAGTACATGGTATTTAACATCTACACAACATAAATGGATGTTCCATGCCCTTATTATAGCAACACTGGAAAGTTTAATATATGGTCATATTTATTCAATGGATTGAACACCTGATTACACTTGCTACCTATGATCAGATTGCCTATAGATGTAGACTTTGTATGGAAAAGTATAATGATATATGGAAGTAATTTATGCAAAATACAGTAAGTTGAAACAAGGATGGTAGCTATATAAACACATGCTTACATAATGTTTGCATTAAACAATTACTGTATATATTGGAGTCTTGTCTGTCAATCCACTTCATTTTAGAGTGCCCATTGGGGCTCTAAACAAACTGGCAGAGCCAATTTTTAAGGCCCTTCTGGAATGGCAAGAAGATAGGGATGGGTCTCATTCCCAGTAGGATCATGGTCCAAACCATAGGGACTACAGCCTAAAAGGCTGCTCTCCTAGACCCTGCCAACCAAACTTTCTTGACAAATGGGATACATAGTACAACCCTTCTGCTGGAGGAAATGGGATAGGCCAAATCCATTGAAGCAAAATGGCTCATCAGATACCCAGGACCCATATCATAAAGAGCTAAGGTAATAGCCAATACCTTGAATCGGACCCGGCATCAAATTGACAACTAGCGTAGCTTGCGCAATAATGGTGTTACATGTATCCCTAGGGCCTCCAAAACTGTCCATGCCATTGAATTCTGTAAAATTGTAGCTTCCAAATATTTTCAAGGATAGAGCACATTGCAGTAGCCCAACTGAGAGATGATCAAGACATGAGTGACTGTGCCCAGAGCTTCATGATCTAGGAAAGGGTACAACTGGTGCACAACATGAAGTTGTGTAAAGGCTTTCCTAGCCAAAACTGCCACTTGCTTTTTGTATAGTCAGCTTATAAGCACTGTGAGGATATGGCCCATTTTTCGAAGGCAGGATTTCTGCTTGCATCATCAGCATTTATGGATTAAATCCAGAATTTCAGATAATTATGTTTTGAAAGTTAACTTTCTACTTTTTATTAAGGTAGTTGTGAAATACTGATATAAAATATAAGTTCAAGTTTTAAGTGAGCAGTACATTGATCAACTTTGCAAAATTATATTTAAAAAAAAACCTGATCAACTTAGTATACAGTTGTATCATAATAGTATTTTTCCCTATTGCAGGATTATGGCATAATGGAAATGTATGTTTTTCATAAAGAAAATTTTGGGCATGCTTTATTCAATCTTTATTTTGTTCCCTCGTAGATACATCAGCAATAACATCTACAATTAAAGATAAAACTTGGTATCATAGCTCTCTTTATTGCACTGATTTACAGAGAATGTTCCCCCCCATATAGATAAATAGACATTCATTCTATGTAGGAGCACACAATTCTGTTAATATTTTTTAATTCTGTTTTTCTTCAATTTTTCTTCTATTTGTATGACTTTCAAAGATCAAAGTTCATACTTTCTTATACTTTGATTATTTTCCTCCTATAGTATGTTCTTTCTTCTGTGAGGAAAATTATCTATCTATCTATCTATCTATCTATCTATCTATCTATCTATCTATCTATCTATCTATCTATCTATCTATCTATCATCTTTACTGTATGTTGTGTTGTGACTACAAAAAGTTTAAGAAATGGACTGTTGCTAAGAAACTGTATTTTTAATATAGGGTGTTCTGAATATATTTGTAGATTATGGAATTATTTCAGTATTGCCAAATAAATATTGTTTAAGGCCAGCACTAAACTGACTGTGAACAACTCCATTCTCTAAATAATGTCTCTAAACACACATCTTATTTTGATTCCTTTTAGGTGAACCAAGTCCTCCATCAATTCACGGACAACCAGGTAGTGGGAAAAGCTTTAAACTTAGCATAACAAAACAAGATGATGGAGGAGCACCTATTTTAGAGTATATTGTAAAATATAGAAGTGTAAGTATTATACTAATAATAATAAATAACATATCTTGATTATTTTGTTGCTCTCTAACCAAGTTTGGGAACTAGTCTTTGTAGAATTTTTCAACTAGGCTAATGAAAGAGAGCACTTTCAGGGAGTATACATAATTATCATAACCAGGGATGGATGAATACTAAAGATATGACCGAATGGGAGTGGAGCTGGCAGGGAGCCCACAAGGTTTCTGGAACTTTTGCTTTTTTTCTGACAAGGAAGTAGAGGACAATGAAAGGAAATACAGTATGTCCAGATGAAATCTAAATATCTACAAATTCATTTTAATGAAGACATCTGGACACAACACATATTTCTCAGAAGTGAGGTAGAATTTTATTTTTGCTTAAAAAAATCAGGCATGACTTTTCAATTTGATTAGTGGTCAGTTTAGCAGAACATTCATTAGAAAGTTATAACAGTTCTAAAATTCAAATGTTGTAGCCTTGTTTGTAATGAAAAGCAATGCTCAGATTCAACTTGTCTGTGTTTTCACATCCAGCGTTGGTAAGCTTCTAATGCCCAATTGACTTATCCATGTCTTCAAACTCTATTTATTTTAATTCATGACTAAGGAACAAAGATAGAGGAATTTTAGAGTGCCATATTAGCAATATCACATTCATTTCCTGCTCTGTTAACACTATATTGCTGGTGATTCCATTCAGAAAGGAATTATTTTTGTTTAGGAACCCAGTGCCTTCCTACTAATAGTTTAGAAATTGAACTATAATAGTTAAGTAATTTGTGTTACTTAAGATAAGGACCTTAGGTCTTTGTTTTCCTCTAAAAAGATTTATATTGTCAGAGTCTAGTTCAATCTGGTGAATCTTCCTCAGACTTCCTCATCCATTCAAAGAAATAAGAAAGAATGCAAGAATAATGGACATGGAGAAGGAACAAAAAAACTGAAATGAAAGAACTTGTAATAACAGCAGAAATGATGGAGAAAAGAGCAAGAATACCTGAAAGACAGGAAACAGATACACTGAAGCTAGTAAACTATGAAGGCTTACTGAATTCCAAAGAGATCAAACTGACCTAACATTTAGCATGGAAAAGAGACATGGCAAGGCAAAGTACTACATGGCCACTACACAAAAAAGCTAGCAAGCAAAGCCTATAACCACAAGACCTGGAAATGAATAAAAGCAGGAAAGTTGAAGAAAGAGACCAAGGGGCTACACAAGACCAACCCTTCAGAACAAATGCATAAGCTAGAAATGAGAAGAAAGCAATGAACAGCAAATACTGTTTTTGCAAAAAGCTGATTAAACAGTGGGCCACCTAGTTACTTGCAGTAAAATGATTGTAGAGACTAATTATAAACAACAGCATGACAAATTAGTAAGAATGATGCTTTGGAATATCAGTGAGACATACCACTTGCCTGCAGGCAAAAAACTGGTAAGCCCACAACATAGTCAAGTAATAGAAAACAAAGAAGCTAAAGTGCTCTAGGACTTCAGATTTCAAGCAGTTAATCATCTATCACATAATATCCCCAGTTTAACAATTGTTAACAAGGAAAACAGAAAAAGGTCAAGATCAGGGGTGTCAAACTGCCGGCCCGTGGGACAGATGCATCATGCTGAAACTGCGCCCACCCCATTGCCGGCAATGGAAAAAAAGTCACAATACGTCGCGACACATCACATGATGTTGCAAGTTTGACACCCCTGGTCTAGATGGTTGACATTGCAATATCTGGAGACAGTAGATTACAAGAGAAAGAACTGGAGAAAATCATAAAATACAAAGACCTGAAAATAGAAGTAGAACAACTGTGGCAAAAGAAAGCAAAGATAGTACAAAGACTCATAGGCACCATGGGTGCACTTTCTAAACACAGAAGACCACCTGAACACTATTAGCATTGATATAATCATCAACAATCAATTGCAGCTTTACTTGCAATGACTTACATCAGGGGTGTCAAACTGTCAGCCCACGGGTCAGTTGTATCATATGGAGGCCCACCCCAGCTCCAGCAATGCAAAAAAAGTCTCAATACATCGCAACATGTCACGTGACGTGGTGAGTTTGACACCTGTGACTTACATTCTATGAAGATACCTTTAATTTTATAACATATGCCTATCTCAGGTCCAGGGAAAAGACTTGATAGGTAGACAAAAAGGCCAAATCCAGTCCAAAACATTTGACTGACTGAATTTAATAATTCATTAAATTTACATGCTACTCGACTCCCAATGATTCTGGATGGTTAAGCACAGTTACTGCTTCAGTTGGTCATTTTGTTCTGTAAGTGTATTGTGAAGTAGCAATATTTTGTAATGGAAATGATATAAGTTATTACTATAAAATTATTCAGTCCCACTTGAACCATTTAAATAGTGACTAATTTAATCTTAAATTATAATATAATGCACAAATGTATAAAACTTCAGTGAAAATCCATATTGCCTGGATTAAATACTACTTAATCCACATGAGCCTTGCCTCTGAACTGGATTTTTGTCAGTTTTGCCCTTCAGTATAGCAGACATGAGAGCGTTAAAGCAAGATTAGGAAAGGACCAATAAACAAGTAAAAAAAATATATTTTGCAGTGCAAGCCTGCAGTCATTTAGCCATGTGATTTCCAAATCATGACCTAAATTATGGATACTCCTGCCTACAATCTTAATTCTGCACTGGGCTGCCTGGGTGTCATAACAGGTATAAAAAGAAAGCTTGCACTTTTTTCGTTGGAAGTTAAACTGGAACCATAGCCCAATAGCTATGCAGCATCTGGAACAAAGTGTTTCAGTGAAATTTGAAAATGGCAACTACACTGTCATGTATTGGAAGCATAATTTGCATAATTGACCATATTGGAAGCAGAATTTGCATTACCTTTTTTGGTTCTAGATACTTGAAACATCTAAATATTTAACATGTTTCACTTGTTCATTTTTATGATTATCTGTCTTCTAATTATGGGTTTTATTGCTGTTTTAGGATACCTGCCATTTGCCTTCTCATACTTTATAGCCAACTCCTCCTCTCCCCCTTCCTAAAATGAGCCAAGGCCCTAGGGCAGTTTTACTGCTAACTGTGTCAAGCAATTGACACTTTAGACTCTCCCAAAAGATCAGGATCCCAGGTTAGGAGTGCTTTTTATTATCTGGATTTGGTTTCAGGAATTAGCCATGGTAAGGAATGGCTCCTGTAGCTAACTTAATCAGCTTTGCATGCAAAAAAATTGCTTGCCTTTTGTTTCATTTGTGCCCCAGCTAAATTATTCTATGCATGTGATGAGGGACTGTTCTTTACTTGAAATTTCAACTGAAGCAAAATGTAGTGATTGGGTTTGTAATTGGGGCAAGATTCAGGAGTCATTATGCCTGTACTAAAAGATCTAGTTACCGATTGCCCTGTAGATACAATTTAAAGTAATGATGGGTCAGGTTGGCTTTTTAAATATCACCAATATCCAACCAAAGGTAGGTAAGGATGGAAGAGTAAATTGGATGATATTCCATGTCTGTCCTTTTCATTAGTTAGAAAATACATTCTTGTACTTTCTGTATTTGAAGGTGATGGTAATTATAATGGCAGTTTTACATTGACGTTGGAGTTTCAGATATGAAAATAGGATTCGTAAATATAGCACCACAGTGGTAACATGTAGTTTCTCATAGTATCTAGTAATTGTTACCAGAAGATATGAGAGTTCAAAGTAACAGGATTTATTATTGAGCAATATAAATATTTTGCAACCTCTGAAATAGTGGTGAGAATTTATCTTCTTCTCTATATACTGAATATACTTCTCACCTTATATTGCAGCATATGAGTAATTATAAACCATATTTGTGTAATCAAAGAGCAAATAGTACTCAAGGACTGAGAAGGTGAATTAAGGATATAATATAAAGTGTTTTCAATTAATGTGTACACAAGATAATAAATCTGTAGTACAATTGCTTACCAGAAATTGTTGAGTAATTTTTTGCCACCTATGCTTTCTGACATCTGTGCGCCATATTTTTGCCACTACTTAGGTCTGACCTTTCATATGAATTAATTTTTTACTTTCCATAGATACTATTTTCATGTAGTGATATAAAATCAGTGTTTTGGAATAAAAATCAAATAGCTTTGTTCTATAAATCAAGACAGTATTATAATGCTGTCTTTCTATTTATTGATAAAAATATCTCTCTCTGTGTGCTTACATATATTTGTTTGCCATGCATCAGGTATAACTTTTTACTGAAAATAGGTTTTCTTAACAAAATAAGTTATAGATCAAAATTTGCAGATTATTCTTCATTGCCAGTACTTTTTTTGTAAAAAAAAAAAAAAAAAAGGTGCCGGAACTCACACATATCATACAACCCGCCTTGCCTACCCTACAAGGTTCCATCCAAAAAAGGTGCCGGAACTCCGTTCTGGGCGTTCTATGACAAAAAAAGCCCTGTTCATTACTATTACCATTTGCTTAAAAATTGAATAATATTGTTTTATGTAATTATCTAGATCATGCACAGATGAAGTTTATTGATTGATTTAGTGATTCTGGAGGGACATGAGAACAAACAACTGTAATATAATATGGCATAAAATCATACCATATCAGCCTTTGAAATATTAAAACAGCAGGATAGTGGAATAGACATAAATAATGATTAATAAAGTAACCAAGTCAACCAACATATATCTCATTAAATATTTTGGATCCTATAAAGGCTCTTCCCATGACGATAAGGCAGGATTCTTTCTAAAAATTGGGGGATAATGTATTACTTTCTAATCCTACTTAACTGAGATATAAAGTATTATCTATTTTAGCCAGGTTATTAGCATTTTCATATTTGAATTCTTATAGACCTATTGAATATAGGCTATCAAACCTAATGATTTGTTAGCTGCCAAGGTGTCCTAGTAATGTGATATATATTTAACATGAAAACCAAAAATTGAGATTTGCATTTTATTAAACACTTCACAATGTTTATCTCTGTAATCCTTAATGTGTTCATTATAATAGGTAATATAATATAAACCACCTTGTAATGAATTAAAGATGAGACCTACAAAGTTGTTTTGTTGTGTATAGAAATAACTTTATATTTGACACAGGAATATTGTAATTTCAGTGTACATACATAGCCACTTTGTTGCCAGAGAATATGCACTTTGTTCCAAGATTCAATGGTTAAATAAAAAGAGTTTGCATTTTTATACCCCAGTTCTAATGCAGTTTATAAAGATTTAATATTATTTGATTTTCTGTGCTCAAGAGGAAAATGGTCACAATGCCTGATTTGAAATAATTGCAAATTAATATTAAAAATATTCATTATAAGTATTTAGTTCACCATAATTTCAACTATTATTCAAACTTTACAGAAAGATAAGGAAGAGCAATGGCAAGAAAAAAAGGTTCATGGTAATAAAGACTTCATTATTCTTGAGCACTTGCAGTGGACAATGGGTTATGAAGTGCAAATTACAGCTATAAACAGGCTGGGATATTCTGAACCAACTTTATATGAGTTCATCATGCCACCAAAGCCCAATATTATCACAGGTAAGTTAATTTTAATATGTTATCTAGCAGTTACATTTATTTTTAGTTTTAATAGAGGTTAATATGCTTTTTAAATTCCTTTCTAAATTATTTCTGTAAACTTTGTTTCTGGCTGCTGGTGGAATAAACAGATAACTCTTTATTGTGTTTTACATGCTGATCAATATATATCACAAAAGCCTAAATCATCAATGTACAATTTACTGATTATAGCCTTTTTTAACATTAGCATTTTAGAACAATTTTTTTGGCATTCATATATAAATGAATTTTATAAAAAGATTTTCCAGAGTTGGAGAGAACAATATGCAACTACTACCAATCTTTGCAAACAACAACAACAACAACACCAAACTTGTATAGAGTATCCTTCTTCTCCATGAAGCAATATTAATGCAGAAAGCAGTATGTGAAATATTTTCAGGTGGACACATTTTGCTTAAAATAGCTGTGTGGTATTTTAAGTATGATATTGGAAAACTGCCAGCTCAAAGGAAGGGTCAAGTGAGGCTCTAACTCAGAGTTGTTACACAGCCTCTAGTGACATAAGCTTGACCTTCCCCAAGAGCCATGAAGCTTTATTTTGTTTTTCCCAGGGGAAAGTCTTATACCATTAAATGGTAGAATATAAAGTTACTGATTTCAGCTATTCACGTGTGGTTGCTTGTGCCTGACACATATGATATTTTAATGAAAACTTTTTATACAGTATTAGCATATTTGCCTGTTAATTAATTATGCTACTTACAAAATTTAGACTAGGTCTTTGAAATGAAAAAAGGACACATTCTCATGAATAAATAAAACAACAAAAACAAAATCCTAGACATGAAGTGTAAATTAAATTTCAACAGCATTCAGTAGCTAGAGGCAGGACAGCATTAACTTTTTATGTTTATCTTGCAATGGACAAACATTTTTGGTGTGGTAATTTTAATTGCAAGATATATTGTGAAGTTTAAAATACCTCATCTGAATTTGAGGCAGATTTGAAAAGCAATTGTGAAAAGGTGAATTGTGATAATAATGGCTAATACAAGTTTAATTTTTGAAGTGCTAAAAGATTATATTTTTCCAAAAGTAGTTAAAGTAGAAAATATCACACCAAACTGACATTAAGATGCCTAAATTTGCAAAAATCTCAAAACTTCAGAAAGTAGATGTTGACTGATGGATTTGTTTGCTTAGTCATTCATTCATTTTGAACTGTCATTAGTTTGATTCGAATTTACTTGTAATTGCCTTCATCTGGACAACTTTCAGTTAGTACTCTGGACCATTTCCAGTCCAGATACAACTTGGATATAGTCTAATCCTACTCATCTACATCTTCTTTTGACTTTTTGCTGATATATTGTGAGATCAGCCAGAAACAACTGGCTTAATTTTCCCTGGGCAGCACATTTTTTATTTAATATTTTGCACTATATGTTTGCTTGCCTGCCTGCCTTCATTTGTTGTGCAGAAGACTTGTGGAAATTTTCTGAAGGAATACTTCATAATTAAAACAGTTTCATCTTTTTTCCCCAGGATTATGTGGTTGCTTCAACAGCTTTTTCTGGCTGCCTATATATGTGTTGGCATGCAGAATTATTCTACCTGTTTTTATTTCAGAAAAGCAAATTAGCTATACACAGAGACACTTATGGAAAGAACTGGATGCTGCTACCACAGTAGCAGCATATTGTAAATCTGAAAAAATATATGAAGAATTGCTTAGTCTTATTCTCTAGCTTCCCTGTTCACTTCCTTTAAATATATTGCCAGCAGAGCTCTTTACAATATTATAATATAAATTTGAGATCCCATATATTTCTCCCTACTCTTTACGTCAAATTGGGATTCTTTGCAGGACAGATGTAGGCTTCAGTGCTACTGGCTTCAGTTTTAATAGGCATAATGGATTTTTCCTTTGATTTTTCTTTGCTTTTTTGCTGACTTGCAATAATATCTGAGCTAGACAGAGTCTCAACTACTTTTGTTATCTATGTTTTGGCAAGACATTTTACTTCCAATCACAAATTCAATAAAGAGTGGGGATCTCTTTAATGTACATAACTGGTATTCATATACCAAACATGTAAATCAAAATCTGAAAAATGTTAACGGTATAGATTTAAAAATTAAAATCCTTTTGGCTCCAATTGTAGTTGTAAGTCAAGGACTACCTGTATTTAACTCTCTACATCATTCAGAGTTAGTTAATATTTCCATATGCTCTTATCTTTTTCATTTATCTATATGATTGCAGCAGGAACTTTTTCTCAGAAAATGATTGGACAGATCAATATCTGATCATTTAATCACATATTTCATATACTATAAGGACTAGATAGGAGTTTTTATCATTGTTATTATTTGACATTAGAAATTCTAGAGTCTTCTGAAAAGATACTAGCAACATTAGCTAATGGTAAATACAGGACTGCGTAGAATATTTCTATATGAATATATACAATATGTTGTCAAGGGTATAAAATAATCAAAAGGATATTTTGATATCTGAAAGGATATTTTCAAATAAATTAAACTGTCCTTCCTTTTGAATTTTCTTCCTGTCTTTCTTTTATTAGGATTTTGACTTTATGTTTATATTTCCTTAAACAATACTGAAGTTCCAGAAATAAACAGAACATCAGTTACAGGAAATTTATGCAAGATCAGAAACAATTTTTCATAATATATAATAGCAATTAGCTAGCAATAGCATTAGTAGTATTAACTGTTAACTAATCTTAACTGTGGATGAGAGACTGTTTTTCATAATTATTTAAAAAAACATGCAAGAGTTGAAGAGGAGAAAAATAAGATAATGCCTGGGATGCCTAGAAATCTGTTTTGTTCAATCCTCAGTCAAAATTTTTATTGATTGGAATGGCCTGATGTGAAGAAAAATATTTAATTCTATATTCTTCATAAGAATCTATATTATATACATGACAGATGGCTTTCTTTTCCTTTGGAAGATTTGGGATGGCTGATGATGAAGAAAATCACTCTACGCACATTACAGAACTCATGCTGGCTTCTCTAGCTATACAGCTTTTTTGTGACCTTAATAGAGAAAAATCTTGATTGTCCTGCCAAATGTTATTACTGTCTGCACATTCCTTGCAGCAGAGTGATCCAGGATTCAATTAATAAGACCACCTGTAGATAGATGATATTAAAGAATTCAAGGGAGGCTCATTTCTTCTATGAATTAATGGAACTTGTTTCATTTTCCCCCCGAGTTTCTTTAAAATGCTTTAAGAATAGGTATTCATATGCTCAACAGAATTCATTTGCCAATGTTAGATGCATATAAATTCAGGGCTTTTTTCTCATAGAACGCCCAGAATGGAGTTCCGGCACCTTTTTGGGATGGAACCTTGTAGGGTAGGCAAGGCGGGTTGTATGACGTGTATGAGTTCCGGCACCTTTTTTTTTTTTTTTTTTTTAGAAAAAAAGCACTGTATAAATTTAATAAAGTTTTTCTAAGATTGTCCCAAAGACCTTTTTCAAAAGGCAACTGGACTTGAAGACATTTCCCTTCTCATCCAAGAAGCTTCTTCTGTTCAGAATTGAAAAAGCGTATTGGATGAGAAGTGAAACATCTTCACTTCTTCACTTCACTTCATAAGTCCAGTTGCCTTTTGAAAAAGCACCTTTGGGACAATCATGACCTGGATGACTGAGAATCTCCATAGATTTTTTTTTGGTTCTAGATGCTTGAGACATCTAAATATTTTAAATGGTTAGCTTGTTCATTTTAATGATCATTTTATGATTATTTATGATTATTAAACGATTATGATTATTTTCTAGGATTATTTTGTAAGTGACTTCTTGAAAAGTTAGCAACTGTACCATTTAGCATGGCTTTTGGTTCAGTATTTTCTTTCTCTGTGGTATCTTTCCTCCATCCTGCTTGGATTTTTTTTTCTAGCCCAACTCTCTTTCCTCCTCTTCCTGGGAATATTTACATCCATCACACATTCTTCTTGTGTCAGTTGATCCTTTTCCCCATTTTTGCCATTAATATTCAACTTCTTCTTACCTGCCTAACCTGTCCCTTTTAAACCTTGTCACAAATGGTGAATACACTAGCCTGCACGTAATTTAAGGAGATTTGTGTGACTTAAGCTACAAATCAGGCTGACTACCAATAAAACAAAAAGAAACATACAGAAAATCTCTTACTTTGATTCTTTAAGTCTGCAGATGGAGGGATAAAAAATACATCTGTAAGTACCATTTTGAGATATTTGAAGACAGCTATCATATTTCCTATCAGTCATCTTCTCAAAGATACAAAGATTCCCCTCATCATTTTTATTGCTCTTTTTCTGAATATGTTCCAGCTGTTCTGAAAATTCTGCGATTGGGCCTCCCACTGCTGAGCATAATGGGCTTTGACCAAAACAGAGCAGAATGAAATGATAGCTTTCCATGATTTAGAAATTATATTGTTGTTGCAGATTCAAATTGCATTTCTGTTTTTTGAAAGCATTCTGTTCTGCTTGCTCATCAATTACTATTTCAAAATCTTTTTTACAAGTACCATATCATTACCAAATCTAGTATCCCCACCCAGTCTCTGAGCCATCTGATTTTTGTTCTCTCAGTGAAAACTTTGCACTTGATTCTTTTAAAATTCATTCTGTTACTTTCAGCCCACTCCTCCAGCTTGACAAAATAATATTTTTCCTATATTCTAGTAGCTTAACTATTTTAACAAATTTATTATCATCTACAAATTTGATAATACACCCTCCATCTGTTCATTAAACTAATTAATGACAGAATTATACTAAAAAAGACAGAATTTTGATTCATTAGTAACTACTTCACAAGTTCTAGGAAAGTATAGACCTGAGAGTTTTGCTTTTCTATTTGGCTGGTTGACTCATTATGCTATCTCATTATGCTATGAATTAGTTTGTTGTTACAAGCTATTGTACATTTGATAAAATAACTGTTTTATCTAAACCTTTCATTGATTATACTGATCTGTTGAA